GACGCAGTCGAGGAAGAGGCGGCGATCAAACATCCAGTGTTACAAATGTAAAAAATATGGTCATCATGCAAATGATTGTAACTTCGAAAAATGTTACAATTGTGGTAGAATGTGACAGAAACACACATACAACAAGGTGATTTTTACACAATAACGTTATTCTCTAAGAGAGACAATACTTAGAAAATAAACTAAACTAACTTACTTATTTTATTCAACTTGTTACATAATACGTATATAGATAGAAAGAGAAACTAACTTCTTACAATCTTAGCCACACATTAATAATTGCTAATAACTTCTCTTGATCCTATCCACAATTACTAAAACTGACATAATTTAAAATCGTCATATTTCTACTAAAATCATCTACCAACAACAAAAAGAATTTATTACCTCCATGAGTTGTTGGAGTAATTGGACCACACAAATCGCCATGCACCAATTGTAGAACACTAACGGCTCGAAAATTTGCTTGTTGTGGGAATGGTGTTCTTCATTGTTTAGTGATTACATAACTATCACAAACTTGTTTGATCCTTTCAACATGTGGAATTCCTTTCACCATTTTTTTCGTAGACAGGTTTCTTAAAGCCTCAAAATTCAAATGCCCATATCTAGCATGCCACGACCAAGAATCTTCAGACAACTTACCAAGTAGACATGTTGGTTTCGTTGTTTTTAGGCTAATTGTATATAGCCTATTTCTTGACTGCTTCACTTTTGCCAAGAACTCCTTTGCCTTTGTGAAAATGACAAGTAAACCATGTTCGATCTCAACTTTACAGCCCTGTTCATCCAATTGTCCTAAACTTATAATGTTACTTTTAAGTTTAGGAATGAAATATACATCGGAAAGGATACAGTGATCTCCATTTTCACATTGTAGCATCACATCTCCACGTCCTTTTATCTCTACAAGTGATCCATCTCCGAACTTCACCATGTCGGTCACTGATGTTGCTTTTTGATAATCGGCCAAGGAAATCCTTTTCTTTTCGATGAGAGGAAATCGTTGACGGGAAGTTGTTGGAAGAAAATAAAACGCGTAAAATAACAAAGAGAGAGAATTGCTGAAATTTTGCCTGTGCTTAAAATCAAGTTATCGAATCTTCCTAACAGATTTAACTATTTAAATATAATTTATCCTAAAAATGGCTGGGGAGTGGCCAACTAAATCTGTGCCACTTCCTACAAAATTGTCGTCTAAAACTTTGCTAATCCATTCGACGTGTTTGTCAAATGGTCAAACGGATGTACTCAATCAACTAATGAAGTCGTGTGAATCTAAATAAGGAAAAACTCAGGTTTTATCTAACAACTGACTCGTTCAATTCCGAGAACCAACTTCGACAACTAGTCATATGATTGTTGGCTCCCGTATCTAGGAACCAAGTGTTGTTTTTCTTCTCAATTTCTTCCGGGACAACCTTCTCTTCATAAAGAGCCATCTCTGTCAACTCTGGTGAACCGAGAGTTCGAACTTCACAAACTTGTGCTGTAAGTAAGGCTGGCTCATCCTAATCACCTTGCGTCTCAGTCAGTCAAGTGCGCCTGATCCTCCCTTTTCTTCGATCTACAGTGGGATGCATAATGACCAATCTTTTGACAATTATAACACATCACCTTCCAACATTTTGAGGTATAGTGGCCTAGGCCTTGAAAATTGTAGCATTTTACCTTGCTCTTGTTACCCTTCTTCTTTTGATGTAACAAGTCGTTTCCACGTCCATGACCTCTCCCTCTCCAGCTACCACTGCGACCTCGCCCTCGGCTATGGCCTCCATTGTCGCTACGTTTTTTCTCGAATGTTGAACTTTCACCTTTGCCTTTTGATTCTTTTGCTTTCCATTCTCCTTGAGTCAATAAGACATGCTCAGCATTCTCTTTGTTGCCACCGATCTGTTCCTCGTATGCTTTAAGATGGCCGATGACTTCCTCCATGGTCATCACCTTTAAATCGGTAAATTGCTCTATTGCCAATGCGGTATGAAGAAACTTAGAGGGTACTGAGCGGAGAAATTTTTTCACCAAGTATGCCTCTTCAAACTTGTCTCCTAAAGTACGTATTTTATTAACAACTCCTGTCAACCTTGCTGCATAATCATTAGTAGTCTCGGACTCCTTCATATTCATAATTTCGAGCTCAATCTTCAGAGTTTGGATCTTGCCTCCTTTACACGTTCAGCACTGACATGAATAGTTTTTAAAGTCTGTCATGCTTCTTTTGCTGTCTCTTTCTGCTAACAAAAACAACATCTCCTCAGGGATTGCTTGATAGATAGCTGTTAAGGCCCCTTCAGCACGCAAATAGACCTTCATCTTCATAGCCCATGTTGAGTAGTTGGTTCTCGATAACGTTGGGTATTGGAGTGATACCAGACCTTCCTTTGTTGCAGACTTCGACGACTCTCCTCTCTCTCCAATGTTGTTATTATTTCTCGGCATGATCTTTGGCATGTAACCACGCTTTGATACCAAATGACAGAAACACACATACAAGAAGGTGATTGTTGCACAATAACGTTATTCTCTAAGAGAGACAATACTTAGAAAATAAACAAAACAACCTTACTTATTTTATTCAACTTGTGTAGTTACACAGTACATATATAGACAGAAAAAAAAAAAACTAACTTCTTACAATCTTAGCCACACATTAATAACTGCTAATAACTTCCCTTGATTCTATCCACAAATACTAAAACTGACATAATTTAAAATACAAACAACAAATACAAATGAATTACGGTTAATACAAGATTAAATAAACTAACAGAATGGGGCACATTGCAAAAGCCTGTAGAGCCGAAAAAGGGTTGAAGGAGCAACCAACCTAGCCTTAGAAGACGTAAACGATGAAGGTCTTCTCTTGATGGCTCAAGATGAAGAGAACATCAACAACGACACTCTGTGGTACCTCGACTAAGGGAAAGAGACCATATGTGCGGTCACGAGCACCTATTCAAACAGACGTAAAAGATTGAAGATGGTCATGTGTCATTTGTAGGTGCGTCAAAGGTGGAGGTCAAATGTCGAGGTACGATACATTTCTTGCAAAAGGATGGCGTAATGGGGTCAATCCAAGATGTTTATTACGTACCAGACCTCAATACCAACATATTGAGTATGGGGCAACTCACAGAGAAAGGTTACTCGATATACTTAAAGGACCACCTGCTACACGTGAAGGATAAGAAACGGTGTTTGGTTGCTCGAGTCAAGACAGGAAGAAATCGGATGTACAAATTGAACTTAAGTAGCATACGAGAAAAGTGTTTGCGAGTTGACGTAGAAGACAAGGCTTCACTATGACATCTCCATTTTTGTCACCTACATCATGGCGATCTAAAGGAGTTAGCGAAGAAGAATATGGTACATGGGCTACCAAACATGGACTTAGAAGGAAAAATTTGTGAAGAATGTGGGCTCAGCAAGCATGGGAGAACCTCAATTCAAAAGAAGGCTGAATTTTGGGCTAAACAACCTCTCGAGTTGATCCATAAAGATATATATGGACCAATTACCCCCGAGTCCTTCAGCAGAAAGAGGTATTTCATTTCGTTTATCGATCATTACTCACGGAAAACTTGGGCTTACTTTTTGAAAGAAAAATTCGAGGCATTCAAGGTCTTCAAAAAGTTCATAGTAATGGTAAAGGAAACTTGTAGACACATCAAAGTTGTACGATCCGATAGAGGTGGCGAGTATACTTCGACGTCTTTCATGGACTACTGCGAGAAGCAGGGCATAAGGCGAGTATACAAAATGGTGTGGCTGAGAAAAAGAACCGGACCATTCTCGACATGGTTCGCTCAATGCTCAAGAGCAAAAGGATGCCAAAGAATTTTTGGATGAAATCGTGCAATGCGCCATCTACGTACAGAATCGATGTCCACATGCGAAGTTAGATGATCAAACACCACAAGAGGCTTAGAGCAGACAAAAGCCTACAATCTCTCATCTCAAAGTATTCGGTAGTGTGGCTTATGCTCACGTACCGGATCAACAAATAACGAAGCTCGAAGACAAAAGAAAAAGGTATATCTTTATTGGATATGATGAGAAGACAAAAGGATACAAACTACTTGTCCTGATTAGCTTGATGGTGATACTGATTCGAGATGTGCGAGTAAATGAAGCAAGCGAATGGGACTGGAACAATTCGACAGAAGTCAATATAGAAGTTGGAGAATCAACAGTCTCTGCACCAACAAGTGCACCAACAGACTCAGAATTTCCAATGATGAAGATGAACCACGACAACCAAAAATGCGAAGTTTGCGAGATTTGTATGACTCAACAAATGAGGTACACCTTGTATGTCTTCTAGCAATTGCTGAAAATATCAGCTTTGAAGAGGCGGTGCGAGACACGAAGTGGCAAACTTCCATGGATGAGGAGATTAAAGCGATTCATCGCAACAACACATGAGAAATGACATAATTACCGGAAGGAAATCAGCCCATAGGTGTGAAGTGGGTATTCAAGAAAAAGATGAATGCTCAGGGGGAGATTGAGCGATACAAGGCGCGACTTGTTGCAAAGAGATACAAGCAAAAGGCGGAAATCGACTATGACGAAGTGTTTGCAACCATCGCTAGAATGGAGACAATCCGATAGCTCATTTTCCAAGCAGCTCAATTCAAATGGCCGATTTTTCAAATGGATGTCAAGTCAGCATTCTTGAATGGTGTGCTTGAAGAAGAAGTATACCTCGAACAACCTCCCCCGAACATGAAAATTGGAGAAGAGAAGAAGGTACTAAAATTGAAGAAGGCACTTTACGGATTGAAACAAGCACCGTGAGCATGGAATACCGGTATCGATACATACTTTAAGGACAACGAGTACAAGCAATGCCCCCACGAACATTCACTTTATACAAAGAAGAGTGGAGGTAGTGTGATACTTGTCGATCTTTATGTCGATGACCTCATCTTCTCAGGCAACAATGATGAAATGATAGAAGAGTTCAAAAGCTGACATGAGAATTTGAGATGATAGACTTGGGCTTGTTGAAGTTTTTCCTCGGTTTGGAGGTTAAAGAAGAAGAAACTTGTATTTTTATATCACAGGAGAAATATGCAAAGGAGATTTTGAAGAAGTATAAGATGAAAAATTGCAACCCGGTATCAACACCAATGGAACCAGGTGCAAAGCTATCAAAGTACCATGAAGGAGAACGAGTAGATGCAAATAGGTACCAGAGCTTGGTGGTAAGCCTTCGCTCTCCTACATGCATAAGGCCAGATCTTTCATTAAGTGTTAACATAATAAGCCGGTTCATGGAGGAGCCAATTTATTCACATTGGAAGATGTTGAAGCGAGTCGTACGATACATCCATGGAACGGTGTTACATGGGTTCTCCTACTCAAAAATAGAAGATTACAAGTTAGTCGGTTACTCTGACAGTGATTGGTGCGGAGACATAGACGATCAGAGAAGTACATCGGGTTATGCTTCATGGGCAACATAGCATTTACTTGGCTTTCAAAGAAACAACCGATCATGACACTCTCGACGTGTGAAGCTGAGTATGTAGCAGCATCTTGGTGTGTGTGTCACCCAATATGTCTTAGAAATCTGTTGAGTAAGATGGAGCTAAAGCAACGAGGTGCAACCATAATACAAGTTGACAACCAATCAACAATTGAGTTGGCCAAGAACCCAGTGAACCATGAAAGAAGCAAACACATTGACGTTCGATTTCATTTTATTCGAGATCATGTGAAGGAAGAAAACGTGGAATTGCTGCATCTTTACAAAAGTACTTTTCGACAAATACAAGAAGATGATTGGCATGACAGATGGCAGGAGCATTTAAGTTTATGGGGGAGTTTTGTTGGGAATAAACGTAAATGAAAAAGGTGTTTTAATTTTAATTTTTTTTTTTTTTGTTAATTTTAGTAACTTTTGAAATTTAGCCTTGAAAAAAAAAAGGCCAAAAAGAAAATGAAAGACCAATAACTGTTTCAGAAATGGGTTAGAAAATGATGACATATGGGATAGACAATTTTAGCCTTTAGAAAACCTATAAATTAGGTTATTTTCCATGGTAAAATGTAGAGCAAGAGAGCACGTAGAGCAACCAGAGTTGTCTCATTTAAGTACAGTGTAATAGAAAAAGGGTATTTTCAGAATTCTTTGTCTCCTTGTCTCTCCCCTCTCGACATCTCCCTCACAGCTTCGTGAGTGTTATTTTCATTAAATTGGTATCAGAGCGAGTCTTATTTTCAACAAAAATATCCACGAGTGTGTGTTACCTTTAGTAATAAGGAGATGAGACTGAAGGGTTTTGTTAGAACAATCATTATGATGGATTTAGAGGGACCTCATGCATATTCTATGTTCATAAGCATAAGGCTACTTTCCATAGAGATGATGAGTAAAAACGCGCATAGTATGATGATGAGTGTGAATACGCACAGTAGGATGATGAATGTGAATGCACACAGTATGATGATAAGGGTGTTCATGAGGTACATGACACTATGGCGTTCTGCCGACCTCCGAACGTCGCTACAGATTAGCTTGAACAGTGGGTCCAAGGGGTGTGCGAGCGCCTTATGGATTCACACTTGCACGTATGAGTCGTGTGTAGGGAAGTACTACACATCAAATTTTTCCAAGACTAGAGGCGATCAAATTTTTCCGTGTGCCACATCATTTTTCAAGTAAAGAAAAGGTGCACTTGTACGGAAGACGACGGCATCGCGAGAAGAGACTGTGGCACGTTCATAGGGTAGTCACATATTTAAATTCCTAGTCTTAGATTAGAATAGGTTGTTTTGCATTTCATAATCATATCATATCGTAAACACTTCGTGGTCATATCGTAACCTAACTTATTATAGCCTAAACATTCTTATATCTATCACAATCATATCATTACATGAACGTACATTTGTCATATCATTACAGGAGCATATCCTAATGCTATCGTTCTATCGTTCTATTAGAATCCTATCCCTTTCTACCCATAATCTAACCATATTATTTTATCAATCGATCGTGACAATATCGATTTTATCAATCTCTCATTATCCATAACACTTCGATACGTAACCTAACCTTAACGTTTCATGAACATACCTTACTTCTATCATTACATTATGTTTAGTGCATCCTTCTCATATCCTATCTCAAACATATCATTGAATACATCGTACCATATGTATTATCATACAATTCACGTATTATAACATATACATATCAAATCATAAGCATATCGATCCATAAACAATTTGCACATATCAAAATATATGATGCGTGCAGAACCACATGACACGTGTCAACATCAAATATATTCATGCTGATAGTAAAGCCACTTACCTTATTAGCTTAGGCTGATGTAACGAATTTATCCTAAATGAAAATTCGATTCTTTCCATTGAAATCCAAGTCAATCTATGTGAGCCCATGACATCAGTTTCAAGTTCTAATTATTTCTCTAATTTAAAAATAATTGATATGTTTATCATCTTTTTATTTATCAATAGACTAAAAATAGTAAATCTATCGTATTTAATTTTGTTTCTATCCATAATTCTTTTCGTATTTAATTTAAAATGTCTATAATGATACAATATAAAAATTATATATTAGTTATATATGAATGTAAAATAAAAATTAGGTCACAATATCTCAGAAATAGTAATTTATTGGCGGTCATATTTAAAATTATGCAAATTATATGACCCATTAAATTTTTGTTGAATGACTAATGTCTCACTAATTAACATGTATTATATGATTTGAAAATATTCAAAGTCGCATAAATCTTATAGAAACTTTCATATTTATGTCCATGATCGTTAAATTATATAATGTTAACCAATGATGTAGAAATAAAAATTATGTATTCATGGGTAATAGAGCTTTTGAGTAAAAGGTAAAGAAATCTTATTATCAAAGTTTTAGATTAAAAATATTCTAAGACTAAATTATTCTCTTTCACGCCGATTATTAGAGAGTGTGGGTTTTGAAAGAATAAATGAATTAAGGGTCAGATTGAAAGCTCACAAGAAGTGTCTTCTGCGTGCTAGGCCTACCATAGAGGAAAAGCCGTCTTTGATTGGCCGTTGAAAACAGAGGGCGATCTAGTCCAAAACATAGTTATGCCTTGAGCTCCTCAGGAGTGTACTCCGCGGTCTAATTATGCTTACTGAGATAGTCTATCAACTTGGCGTAAGAGCCTTCAGATCGGCAAAGGAACTTCTCAAGGTACCGTAATAAAAGCCTATTAACGAGGACCACATTAGAGTCTATATCAAACCAGTCTTCGCACTTGGATAGGTTGTCCAAGACCACTTGATTGGGGACAGATAGTAGTATCCTATCTTGTGATGCCTAGAGGACAAGAGCTCGTTCAGAAACTCATTCATCAACCGAAGAAGCAAAAGAGAAAGGGGAGTGGAATGAATCTGAGAAAAGGAACGAATTCGAGTTCGAAGATGCGACTAGGAACTCAAAGTCGAGGTTCGAAGAAGATGCTCACAGGATTGGCAATGAAGCTCAGTCTGAGTCTGATTCTTCTTAGTGAAGAACTCCCATAGTGATTTTATTAACTATTGAAATCGCGTAAAGGAAGAGAAGCTAAGGCAAGGGGAGGGGCATAAAGTAGTAGCTAGAGTAGGAGCGAAAGCGGCTCGACTGTAAAGGAGAGGAGTGAGGTCTTGTCATAGTTTGAGATGAAAGTTTTTGTAAGATGTCTCAGTAGATCCAGTTGCAAGGGAATCTTCTTCAAGAGGAGGTGCTGAGATACTCAACTAAGCAGTCCTTTCCCTCGACGGAAACCTCTTTCATCGCAGTCTTGTAGGAGAACTCGCACAAAGGAAGTAAAACAAGAAGGGGCACATTGCTAGAAGGACAAATTCCCATTCTTAGCATTACTGAATGCAAGGTTAGCGTCCTACCTTCTTCTTTATTTTCCCCTAAGCTAAATGGAAAAGAGAAGAAAGACCAGATACCAGAGAATCAACCAAAACTGGGAAATCAACAGAAGAAGCAGAAGTAAAGAAGCTAGGGGTTTCAAACGAAACTGATGGACAACCAAGAGATGATTTTCCTCAACAGGAAGAGAATGAGGTAGCTCAGCATCTAGCTCAGTAGCATCGAGAGAGGAGCCTACTAAAGGAGTGAAGCTCAGTCATATACCCTAATAGTTCGTATTCTACTCTTCGATCTATCTTCCAGTTAAGATAAGGAAAGCGGGGAATCTACTAAACGAATAAGTGTGCAGTATTTAATTATTCTCCGAACTTCTTCATCAAGTAAGTCAACTTTGATCTTTTTCCTAGTAGCTAGCATCTCTGGGCTACCCGATCCATCAGTAAACGAGAGGTCGAAAGTCGCGACCATTGAGATCTTACTTTGATTTTGATACGGAAAATCTCTAACCATAGAAATAAGAAAGACGACTTGATGCCCTGAGTAAAAAACTGATTGATTTCGTTGTTGGAACTATGTCAGTATAACCTGCTTCAGTTGCTTTTACTTTGTGCTCTTCTCTTCTTCCTGACCCTGAAATGCGGGAAGGTAGTCTATGTTAACCTGGAAACTCTGCCTCTGTGAGCCTTTTTTCTTTCCTTCTGGTCTAGTGGCATAAAGGGTGCTATGCCTTCTCATATATCAATCGAATGTTAGACCTCATCTCATCAAGAAATAGCGTCTTGTATATAGACGCACCCTTCAGACTATCAGTTCCTTGCTTTCCCCTGTCCCGGGTGGGGCTTTGTTTGACTGACTTGCTTTTGTGCTTGATGGAAGATAGGTGTCAGGCTCATAAGGTTTATCCTATAATTCTAATAAGGTGAAAACTCATCATCAAGTCGGTTTTCTTTCTAGTTCTACTATCGAAGAACTCACTTGCGGGACGGACAACCTACCTAATTAAGAAAGTTGACTTCCTCCAAACAGCATGCATCTCAAATAAAGAAGAGCAAACTACAGCAACTGATAGGTGAACTCAAGATCTCTATCTTACTTCGGAGGAGGAGTGAAGTGATTAGAAATACCTAACCTTTGACTAAACATCGACATCGAGTCAATTACACATAGCAAGCATATAAGGCAACTTCAAAAGAAGCTTACTTAATAAAGAAAAATAGATCATGGGATAAATCGGTCAAAAGCCGCCTCTACAGCCTTCCCTTCTCCATCCACCTTGGGAGTCAAACCACCTTGTTTGGGTTGGGAGTCAAAACGGATCTAAAGACCTTGGTAAATGCACCGATCATTCCGACCTTCCTTACATGTCCTTTCAGGGTGACCAACCCGCCTCCTTCTTCGGCCTTTTTCTCGCCTTGCGGTGACAACACCAGCACCACATGCTGATTGTGAGACTGCCTTAGTGCAAGAAATACCTGAAATGGGTGCACGAACTACCAGAAAATGGACCTTCAATAGAGCGAGATTTTCCTGGCCTTTTCTCGGGATCGATCTTTCATGATCAAAAACATTGAGATGCCAAAAAAG